CCACCAATCCTAATGCTATGAGTAATAATCTCTTTCTGAATCAGATGAAGTAGGTGATGCTCTTTTTCTTTTGTGCTAATACTTTCGAGCTTTTCTTCTATAACCCCATTCATATGAGCATGAAGATTGCCCTGCCTGGCTAAATAAAGGTATATAGTCCTTGTACTTCTCCATCATCTTATCATTACTTCCTACAATCTGCAATGCAGTACCCCATCCTCTGTTATCTGCTAATCTCAGAGTGACTCAACTTCTTCACGCACACTAACAATTTTCTTCCTATTAGACTCTGGCAACACCCTGATTGCCTTATCCAAATGTTTACCAATCTTTGCCAAAAAATCATACTCATGCTGGTCACGTGGTCTTGATAATTTAACTTTTGGCCAAGCTTCATCTAACCTATCTTCATCTTCAATCTCTCTATACAATGCAGAGAAATTCCTATCCATCTTTCTTTCAATATTACTTAAAGCAGTCAGAAAAACATCAACAGGAACTGACTTTACTTTCTCTTTTCCTCTAAAACACGTTGCAAATTCCTCTCTAATCCTATTATCCACTTCCTGGGAGTCTTCATCTAAATCATCCTCAAACTCACCACCTTCATCTTCATCCAAATCCATATCTACTACTTCTCTTGTCCTATCATAAGCATTCCTGGGCCCTGGTTCTTGTTCTCTATTACTCCCCTTCAACTGCACCTCCGGCCCTTTATCTTTTCTTTTGTCAAAATAAGCATGTAGTCTTTCACCTAGCTCTTCTTTATTACCCTCTATGGAGAGGCCACAAGCTGCACACAAGTCCTTCAACTCAGTCAAAGTCAGCTTTGTCCAACTTCCAGCATGCATTGAACGATTTGCAGACATACTTCAGATCACTTACATACATACAATAATACTATAAGCTAAATGCAGCTATTTAACTTTTTTTTTTTTTTTTTTAATTATTTATTTTATATTTTTCGAAACAAAAAGAAATGTATATGATATATAATATATGATATATGATACAAACGATAGAGCCAAGGTGTGGCAACTTAGTGTAGTGGTCTAGTCATCACCCTCTCCAAGTGGCAGGTCTAGAGTTCAAATCTCACGGACGATGAATTTTGAAAAATAGCCTGTGTTATGGTTTACGGTTGTCAATTATCGGTTGGATCTAGAAATCTGTAATCTCGGTC